GATTTGATCTACGCAACAGATAAATCGGACAAAAGTTTTAACCCTCGCACGACCAGGCCATTTCTCATAACACGAACGACCAGGGGGGGGGGGTTGTTACGACCCCCCCCCTGGCGTTTCGAAACGGAAGGTCGTAGAGCTTAGCGGAAAAAACCAACGGATTGCCCTCAACGAGATCTCGCGATTGGTGGTATATTTTTTGGTCCTAGGTCAACATTTGACCTACTTATGACCGGTCAAAGGTCAAATTTTCCGAAAAAATCAAACTTTTTCAACTTTCCGCGGCGATTGCGGCAAAACGGTGGGAGATATCGACTTGAAACCTTCACTATCGTGTTCCTTGATCAATTCTCTATCGTTTGGTATGTATTTCGTTTCCCTAGCTCTAAAAATGGCGCGTTGGGAGCGCCGGAAGTCGGCAAGGTCACAGTCGGCGGCAGAAATTCGAAAAATCGAAATTTAAATTTTTGAAATCTGATTGTATTTTTGGATTTGGGAGGTCCATTTGCTCCCTATAGAAGCTAATATTGCTGCATATTCCCATTGAGGTGACAAGAATTAGCAAAATAGTGGTTCGGGCGCTTTTCAAAAATAGTACCGGACGCTGTTCCTCTTGTGACGTCATAGCTCCGTGACCTGACCTGACCCGGTCAATTTTCTTGCACCACACGATAGCCAATGCTTGCCCCAACATGCATGGGAAGTTTCATCATGATCCATCAAACAATGTGGGTATCACCGGCAGAAAACCTAGGGATTCGGCGCACACGTTTGGTAACTGTCGGCCGGAGGCTGTACCTCTTATGACGTCATAACTCCGTGACCTGACATGACCCGATCAATTTTTTTCGGCAAAAGATGCGCAAAGGTTGCCCCAGAGGGTATTGAAAATTTCAGCCCGCTACGACAAGCCGTTTAGCGTGCACTTCGAAAAAACCTCAGGGGGGGGTTGATACAACCCCCCCCGCCAGGCGTTCTAAGGTTAAATAGGTAGATCACGCCAATACCAAGCGTCCGCCGGATATAATCATCCACAACGATTGTAAATCTAGTGCCGTTGATTTTGCGCAACGTCTTGAACTACACCTGGGAAAAGGTGACTAAGGGAGCCCAGCTTAACTCGACTGTGGAGGCCATCCATGGTGGTCTCTGGTTCTACCCCCGATGACGTCAAATCCGCCTCGGCACGGCAGAAACTTGACTAATGGCCGCAAATGACGAATGGAGGCCAGTAATATAGTATCGCCGGTCACGGAGCGAACGGGTTTCCCGGGCAAGTTCACGGTACAAAAAGCAGACGAGACGCGAGGCAAACAGCTCTAAGAACGCAAAAGCTGACATGGGAAGTCAACTAATGGAGTCACGATTTTCAACTCGCCCGTCCTGTTCGTGAATCAGACTCAAATAATTTCTTCCACCGGACCATCCGACTTTAGCTACCTAGCGCCATCCATCCCAGACCCTATCATTCCATGAGGCGCCCCTATCCGAACGGTTAATCTGGGACTCCGCCGAGCCCTGCCAAGCCAAAGCTGTTCGCCACCGAGTGCCGTTTATCGCTTCATGCAACACTGCTCAGCCAGAGCCATTGGCCGGTCGGTGGTTCACAAATTAGCTGCGACCGCTGCTGTCGGCGCTCGGCAAACCCTCAGACCCTCGGACCGTCTCCTTCCAGCCTGCACCGCCCGGGGCTGGTCTAGTTGGTGGTCCCTGGCAGCCCCAGTCGGCCGCCCGGCCCCGCTGGCCCACTGCGCTGCCAGCACCGTTCACGGTCGAACGGTGACCCGGGTGACGGCCAACAGTGACCGGGGTCACGGCCGAACGGGGACCGGGATCACGGCCGAACAGTGACCCAAAACGACCGAACGGTGACCCAGGTTAGGGCCCAACAGTGACCCAGAATACGGCCGAGCTGGAGCAGTAACTCGGCTCATACCGGACAGTGAACCAGGCCTCAGCGGAGCGATGCTATAACCAATACAGCCGATTCGTGCCAGCCGCCTCAGCCGTCCGGCCGTCGCGCGCCGTTTATTATCATTCTAGCCACGGCCGGTGGCCTGGTCCGGCCGCACCAGGCACGTGGTTTCGCATCTCGGCGCCGGCCGAGCGGCTGTCGCCTTCTGCTGGTCGGGTCTGAGGGTCTACCGTATCCCTGAGAGACCTGCAGATGGACCCGGCGGGATGGAATCATGTCAGTCCCAACCGCTTGCCTACGTCACTTGACCAGTCCATTCAAAGGACGATCTAGGACCAGCATAAACCAGCAAAACCAGCTTATATCATCCGGGACCACCCAGTACCATCTCAGACCGGCAAAGACCATCTGGATTCCGGACCATCAAAAGGCCCGTCTCTGATCGTTGTCATCTGTGCGCCTGCTGACCGACATGTGACCTTCCCTGTGACAGACGGTCGGCGGCCGTGCGGCCGTCCAACGCACCAGAGCCCACCGGCCGGCCGGCCTGCACGCTGCACACAGGACCCTGTTACCATTATTTTGGCAACTGGCCCGCCCGGTCTGCTTCAGGGACAGTGTGCGCACGACGGCCGCGTGGGACAGCGTGCGCCTGGCCATACCGGAAAGTATTGCAATACGCAGCTGTGGCACTGTGGGCAGCGGCAGTCCAAACATAGTCCTGGGGTAATGGACTGACGCAATAATTCAGTCATGAAATGTCACCGTACAACGCACATACCGAACATGTCAAATGTTCAGAGTCGTCCTCAAATTCTGCGCAGTTGGCTAGCTGGTAGTAACAACGAACACTGAACCATTAGCGACAAGAAAAACTGCTGGTGAATCTCAGCCTGACAGTGCCCTAGCAACGGCTGCAATTCCAAGAATTCGCGGCGACCGCAGGGAGGGGAAGAAGCAGCGGAGAGGGACGTTCACATTGCTCCAAGCTGGCACGCAGACGCACCGAGTCCTGTGCGACCTTGATAACTCTCAGACGTTCTCACAGACATTCTTTGTGCCGCCGGCCGGCCCGGTCCCCAAATAAGACAGAGCACAGCGCCATGTAACCAAACCGGTCTGGGCGGTAGGCACGCACGGAGTTTGGCTCAAAGACACGGCTAGATTCGGGAGAACGGGGCGACCGGCGAGCCACAGCGGGTCTGGCAGTCGACGCAGGACGCGGTAGGTCGCAAGTCATCCACGCCAGATCGAATTATGTCGCCAGGATATATTTCTTCCAGTCAATAGATGAATTCGACGCGTCATTGACAAACACATCGCTTGCGTTAGTCCTCCCATCACAAACCGCCCCGCCCCCGGGTGACCCGCCCACCTCCACCGCTCTCCGGACCGGTCGGCCGGGCCTCCAGAGCGGGCCACCCTCCCGCTCTCGGTCGGACAGAAGGCGGCAGAGTCATCACTAGCTACGGTGGCGTGATCGCCGCCGGCAGGCCCGCGTCCAGGCAGATGGGAGGGGAGGGCTGACTCGTGTTGGTGCCTCTCCTGGACAATCTGACCAAGAGGGTGGCATTTCTGTCTCATAAGTGACCTCTCGTTGGTCCGAAGATGAGTTTCTGGTCCTCGGGTGACCTCGTCCCTTGCGAGTGCCAACCCTTGCGCCCCACAACCCTCCACCCTGACGCCGCCCCTGCCGGGGGTGTGGCGGCACCGCGCGGCCAGCCTGACCGCGACGCGTGTCGCGCCCCCACAACAGAGGCCCTGCCCCCGGGCCAGTGTCGACCCAATCGGTCCGCGTCACTTTTTTACACCGCCGCTCCGGGCAGAGTTTTTAGAGAGAGGCTGTCGCTGAGCGCCGTGACAGAGCAGGTTAGCTCGGGACATCCCAGCCCCTGCCTCAGGAGAGTCATACTAGGAGATTCGCTTCTTCTATGTGAGCACCTGCTGTCAGCCATCTCCCAGCCACCGTCGCGCTGGCCGGTTAGCCAGGGACGGTGAAACTGCCCATCACATCAGCTCCACTGAGCCGGCGGGGGCTGGCTGAGAGAGCCGCACAGCAGCGTAGCGCTGCAGCCGACCAGTGAGCGGTGACAGCATTAATGAAACCACCGAGGCATATGCTCGGAGCCGCCGCGCGGTGAGCTACCTTTGGCGAACCGGTCGGAGCCGCGCTCACACAGATGGTGCGATAGCAATGAGCCGGTGTGGGCGCCCGATCCGAGCCAGCCATAACCGGCCGCGCGGGGTGTCATCGACCAGGCCGGACACAGCCCGGATCTGGTGTATACGGCCGGCCATACGTCGACGGGCTGTGGGCGGCTAGGTGCCCGCATACCACTGATGAGAGCGCTCTAGAACAGAGCGCCTCGGAGGCCTCAAATATCTCACCGCTCTGTATCGAGACCAGGCACGGGCGGAAGCCATAACTCACTTAACCACCGTACCACTCGGCAAATAAACCAATGTTTGAGTATTCAGCCGCGGCAATACGCTCCTGCGGCTGTATTAGAAGCCGTTCCGCGCCTACCCGCTCATGAACGTCTCATTAACGCGGCGGTTGAGAGGTTTGTCTCACCCTACCGCGGCGAGCATATGCAAATCGGTGGGCGTTCACAGGGCGGCTAGACACGCCAGCCGTGGTATTGCGGTAGTACGATGGTTCGTGGCCCGTGGGAGCTCGGTAGTACCCGCGGCCGGCCCGCGGCGTACTCTGGGAACGGCACACCACAGCTATCGGCCAATTAGTGAGGGAGCGGCGCGCCTATTCACAATGAGTGAACAGAGTGCTAAAATACCCTCAGAGTAGCCTCCTCCTGACTACCGAGTGCTAAGTACTCGATACGCTACAACACACTACGGTACTATACGGCAGGACATAATAAAAGGCGCGGCAAACACATGAAACAGTCAAGCAAGGAGCAACACAAGTTCTGGTGCCACCGGTCGACCGGGGTCCAATCGCTGAATGTTGTGATCTCACTCAAGAGCCTTAGAGATCGTGTCAGCTGCTACGCCGCAAGACAAGCCTTGACGCTGGACATGCCACCTCTCCTCACTAAGCCCACCACCATAGCCGGGTACTCACCGATCCGACCAGGCCGGCTCGGAGCAGGTGCGCCGTGTCCGCAGCGCGCGCCGTCGCCTCGTGAGGGTCGTCAAAACCAAGGCCCGAGTCCTCGTCGGGCTCGGCTGCGGAAGGTAGGGAAAGAGGGCAGGTCAAAGACTTGGAAACCAGGGATGCGGAGCCGTGGAAATTTCAGACGGCTCCGGCTCCGGCTCCGGCTCCGGAGAAAAAAATCGGCTCCAGCTCCGGCTCCGGCTCCGGGTGAAATGTTATGGCGGCTCCGGCTCCGGCTCCGGCTCCGAGTAAAATGGTCCGGCTCCGGCGGCTCCGGCTCCGGCGGCTCCGGCTCCGACTCAGTACATCCCCTATGCAATCAATTAAATACGGGTGGAAGAAAAATTGGATTGGTTATACGCGTTACTCTTTGCCATGACCGGCTCACCGCGTCCCCGCGCAAACGCACCTCGGAGAGAACCGGCAGAACAAAGGGCTAGGAAGCGATGGCATTGGAAACGCAGTCGCCGCGAATCGGAGTTCAGTGAACCATCGTAAGCTGACACCCGTCTCGGCTGCATTGGGGGGTGAGGGGTGGGGGGTGTGTGGGATGAGACGGTGCTGGGAGTCGCAGTCCACTGCACTGGTTTGAAAACAATGGCCGTCACCTGATGACTGGTCCTCATGTTCTGGGGATGCAGTAGACGTGGGGGGGGGGGGGGAAGAGCAAACAGGAAGTTGTTTGCGTACTGTGGAATACTGGGGATATTCGGATTTTTTCATTCACTTGATGGCCCATGACGTAAGTACCATATATTTTACTGCCTTGTACTGTCAAACCGAACTAGGTCAATTATTTTTTTCCTCTTCAAAAAATAAAAAGGAGCCGGAGTCGCCCCCTTTTTTGGCGGCTCCGGCTCCGGCTCCGGCTCCGGGCTATATTGTTTCACGGCTCCGGCTCCGGCTCCGGGCAAAATATGCCGGCTCCGGCGGCTCCGGCTCCGACTCCGGCTCCGGCTCCGCATCCCTGTTGGAAACACTACCTAGTTACGGAGCAGGTTTCAACGGAAAACGTCATTGGAAGACATTACGTTATAGCTTGCCACAGCCACAAGACAGGACATCAGATGAAACCAGACGACTTGGTGATGATCAGACAAATGACGACATTGGCGCGCAATGAATGAAATACCGATCATAATCCGCAGACTATTACCTACTGCATTACATACAAATGATATCATATATAACTGAAAGTAACGCAAAGTCTTTACATGACTCAACTACGACGCAATTCTTCACATGACATAATATGAGGCCCAAGTTTTGGAGGGATTATAAAAAGTTGCATGCTGCAACACAAACGCAATGTGGTTAGCTGATGACTGCATTCTGCGAAACTCGCAATCTGGCCCCTGCAAACAAGTTTTTCGTGTTTCTCTACGACGCCAGCAGTGAGTGTTCAACAAATAAATAATCAAGACATAAAATAAACAAGGGCAAAAGGACAAAATATCACGTTCCAGAACAAAACCGGTCCCAGCAGCTGCCTCTCCTGACCACAGCCACTTGCCGCAAGTCGTGCGCGAGCGAGACCCACGGCCACGGCGCACTGCACACCCGGCGGTACTTTTCGGGCCTTGGGCGCTCCGAGCTCGCGACACATAAACAGGCGTTACTGGTGACACACAGCCATCCCGGAGATGTGGCACGTGACAAACACATTCCGGATCATCTCCGGAGGCGATCCGCCGGTAACATCACCAGAGACCGGTGCAGACAAACAGTACATAAATATCGCAGACGTCACCGCTACGACTGTGGAGCGTGGGACATAATAAGCAGGGCCGACAGCGTCCCAAGAGAGGAAGTGCACTGAGCCCGATGCTGGCCCGAGACGGATAACGTGGAGGGTTGAGTACTCACGCTTGGTAATACGCTGCGCCGGCGGCACTGGCTGACGCCGCGGCGCTTTGGTACGCTCCACCGCGCCGGAAATGTCGCTCACTGAAACCCAGTGACAACACAAGTCAGTTAATCAACCTTAGGGTACATTGAGAGAAGCACAACTGAGTGAATGGATTTAACATGCAGCAATCACCAAACACTTGAATCTAAATCCAGCCAATCCACACACAAAAATGAAATGGACCTGCCTAGGTAAACATGAAGAATTTCTGTTTTACCTCAATAGTCAATAAAGATCAGTAGTATCATATGATGCAACTTCAAATGCAACACCTACTAAATAACAAAAACAAAAATACTATGCCTTCAGGCTACAACCATCTCTTCCACAGAATATGAGCACAATGAAGTAACAAAGTCAGCCAGTTTACAGCCCAGTAACTGTACAGCACAGTGAACAGTACGACAGTCCAGCACTTACCCCGTGCACGCCTCTTGCGACCTGGTCGGGACAACATAGTTTGCTGTGTCTCTTCCATTGCCAAGTGGTCCACCAGCATGCTGGATGGCTCCCTCTTGGACAATATCTGTGGATGCAGGGAAATATGTGTTTTTGATCACTCATCTAGTCATAAATAATCAGAAAAATATAAGTTAGCAAAGAAAGTCCTAGTTGGACCTACTGTAGGGAAAAGAGAAGACATGCCAATGTAATGTTGATGCTAAGTTAATTGTTATTAAGGAAAGATCTCCTGTATGCTGCCGTGCAAAGGCAAAAACATTTACATTCGGGTGACCTCTGGCCTGACGTAATGACCTCCGACCTAACACAATTGTGTTTGCCTTTGCAAGGCAGTATGATGATTTGCTTATAGCTGAATATTCATTACACCAGGCCATTTAATAAAATGGTGTTCTAAAATAATTCAAATTAACTAGGAAACAATAACCATAGCATAATTTGATGGTTCACATCTGATTATTACAAATAAAAACATTTTTATTGTAGCTTTGATACATTAAAATTGTGTACAATATATTTTTTATTTGCATAGCCTTATCATAATTATAGGTGCCATGACCAGGAAAGTGAAACTATAGGTACATTGGGAAACATTTGATGATCAACACCGATTACATGAGCAAATGCCAAGTACATACAGTGGAGAATCGGTCCAACAGGCCTAAACCAACACAGGCCTCCAAATACTACGTACACCAGAGGTAAGGTACCTAAGGTTTATTAATTGCCATTTTACACAATTACACAAGCTGAATCCCAAGCTAGAAACTAATTAATCCAATATTCTAAATGATCAATTTTCCAGATTTGGGCGAAATTGTACAGACTATCTTAATACTGAAGTGCAAGGAAAATAGGGACATTTAGAACAATCCTAATCATCAGTCAAATACGTCTTCATAACAAATCTTGTTGGCATTTTCCTGCCAATGCCACTTTAATGCTATGACTTTTATGGTATCATATTGTATCATCAGTTAAATGTAAATTGCTATTTAAAATGAGGGTGACAGCACATAATCGTTAAAAATAGCCAGAAAGATGGGATGAGAAGCTTGTCATGGGTGCGCAATGTTTGTATTAGCTGCAAAACAGCAAAGAAAGAGATTAACAAGCCACGAACAATACCTTTGTTGAACGAAATCTTGATAAGCTCTTCCTCGCAGTTCAGAATTGGATAAAATGAAGCTAGTGGATGCGTGACTTCAGTTGAAACGACTCACAATCGGAGAGAGTACTTTCATATACCGCACTCCACAACCTCTCGATCAAAACTAACGTAGTGATGGACAGCATCTTCTGAGCACCGCTAGAACTGTGAGTAAGTACTGGTACTTGTAGAAAGGACAAGTGTTTCCCCAAGTTTGTCTCTGTTCCATACAAAAAAATAAAATATTTTCATACGAAAAACGCTAAATTTCTTATTATTTAATCAATTTGTATGCTCAAACTTTTTTTTGCCCGTATTGAAGTGCCTACACGAGTACCTACTTGTACTTTGACTTTTAGAGCAGCTACTTTTCAACTCACGAATCACGGAATCCTCCCGGCTCCTGTAGCGAGAATACCAGACGGTGGACAGATGTGCGAATGCGCAAAAAAAGAATGTGCGGTTGCAGTCTGGTGCCACCAGATACGGCCGAACAATCAGCCAGCCTTCGTGACGCCGAGTCGGAAACTGATTTTCGTAAACTGATTCGCTCTTGTGCCACATAGTGACCGAGCCAACGAGTGTCAGTGGTCTGTAATTTAGGCGAGAAGCTGTTGGTCGCGGAGGCCGGAGAGAAAAAGTTCGCAAAATAAAATTCTTAAGCGAGGCGCAGGGATCCGACAGTGAGCTGACCTAGCCTGGCTCGTGGCTGGCTTATAAGGTGTGTACTTGTAGCTATAACGTAGCTTGAGGCCTTGATTTAATCGCTGATCAAATAATGTACTCTCGAGGTTTTTAGGGGTCATGATCTCGAGCTCTATGTTCTCCTTGCTAGTAGGCACGTAGTAACATCAACCAATTACGTCAAGCCTTTTATCTACGTTATAAATAAGCATATGATTCCTGAAGGATGTCGTGGTTTTCATTACGAAGATTCAGTGTCAGATATCTCTCATCTCGTGTCAAGACTCCAGTGCTGGGGAACCGACCATTGTATTATGTAACGAGGGTACAAAGTTCAGTCTATGTCTAAGGTCAGACTCGGGACGTAATCCTGCTAGGACAGAAACCATTGCTTCCGACGCCTGGATTTCTGCAATGGCCGTCACTACCGCCGCTAGCCACGGGACGGGTGAATTCAGGACGTTTTTACTCGAACGGCTATCTGTTTGCCGAATGCTTTGACATGGCCGTCTCGGTGAGATTTTGAACTTCCTGATTTCAAATTTTCTATTGTTCACACTTCACAGTGTAGTTAGTGAGGACGGTCACAACTGCCCTCACTCCATCTGGATTCTGGGACCCACTGTAGTGCAAGTGGCAAGTGACGTTTCCGAGTTCGAGGGATCGTGATAATCAGGAAAGGGAAGAGTCGATGACAATTGAAGCCCCTGACATCCATATCTAGCCATCAACAAACTCACTCAGTAACTATTTCTTCTCCTCTTATTCACCAACGACAAACACTAGCCCATCTCGATGAGACACAGTTCAGTGTATTTGGGCCGTGTAGGCCTGTGTTCGCGCGCATTGCAAAGAGGTATCACAGTCACGCGCCCCGACATCACAGTTAACACACACGCGCCACCCGCACACACACACACACACACATACACACACGACCGCACGTCTATGGATGTATGCATAAAGTATATACAGACACCCGCGTGCTCCGGACGCGGTCCGTCCTCACCGAAATCCGACCGACGCGGGGTCACCGCGCGCCGACATAACGACTAACGTCACGATACCGTACAAAAACCGCGCCAAACGCTCATAACTGGCGCGCAGATCACGCCCCGCGGCGAACATACATGGCCGACAAATACGCCCTCGCCGCACGGGACGCGCCTTCGGGTCGCCCACTGGCCGTGGTCACCTAGCGTCCCCGTCCCGAGAGACGGCCGTTCTGCGAAGGCACGCGGCACCGGCGCCGCCGACGTTTGCGGACGAGCATGGTCAGCCTGTGTACCGTGACTCCACACAGGGCTCAGGCAATGCAGCCGATACGGCCACAGACTAGAGAGCCACACCACCCAGCGCTGGGAGGCCGGGGCGCGGTAGGCACTGTCGGACGCCGATGGGAGCTCGAGACGCCACTGAGGGACAGTCAGCCCCTCTCACCGTCGGAACGGCTCGGTACCGGCGCTCTCACCCTCTCACATATCTCACGGCGCGGCGGCGACTACATGGACATGACTCAGGCAGTGAGGTTACGGCGCGGTGTGGGGAGGAGAGCCACCGGTGGCATCCGTCAGTCCAGTCTAACCCAGCTCAGCTCAGCTCAGCTCAGCTCAGCACTGCTGCACCTGAGCAGCCAGAGTCAGCAGGTAGTGCTGCTCTTCTTCGCTGAGGCCGTTCTTCAGCGTTCTCCGCACTGTAACGCGGGGTGGGAGATCGGTGTCAGACACGATACTAACAGTGGGCACACGGCTGTGTTCCGGGGAGAACGGGGAAAAGGGCGGTGCAGTGGGGTAGGCCACTGTCAACTAAAGCAGCCCTTTGGTCTGGACATTGCAGGTTGGTGGGCATTTAAATGTGGTGAAAAGCACTCACAATTACAAAAGGTCACAAAATTTGTTAGGTGTTTTATTGAGTTATCGGCACAACTCATACCCCAGTTGGTAAAAAGCAGCCAGTTCTACCAAATCCAGCTTTGTCGATTGATAACTGGAAAACCGAGAGGGTTAGGTTCAATTTAAAGTTAACCCTTAATTTATCAGGGGACCATCCTCCGGAGATTTAGGTGTCAGTTTCGGCGTGCAGGTATTGAGACCCTTATGCTCGAAACGCTCGAAACTCGGAACCTTCGGTCAGTTTTCGCCGTATTCTCGTAACGTAGTGGTCTGTGAGAGGGACGGGACCAATGTCGGAACTTCGTAATAAGTGTCACGATCGTTGTAGCTTCCGGTTCATACGAGCTCATACCACGAAGTCTAAACATCACCGGCAATCGTAACTGTCAGCCTGTCAATCTGAGATACTGCTGACGGTATGTCTCCTAGTTCACCTCCCAGGAAATAAACACGAAACAACGTATTGAATAGCATCTGAAATCAGAGAGCACGCCTCCTTTTCACCGGACATACTGCGGCGCACCCACGAGTGATAGTCACATGATTCCGCCGCCCCCCCCGTCTATTGTATGACCCGGTCAACCCTACACCAGGCGGGGACCCATTGTTCGGCAGCCGGTGTCAGGGTGTCACCCGTACGGGTCACGAATGCACCGTATGATCACATTACAGTCTGGTGCTGAGGCTGCGGGGACGCCACACCGCCGAGCTGAGACCTCCCCAGATATCGGAAATACGACAGATGCAGATCTGTAGCTGGTATTTATCAATTACTGCTCATTCAGACCTTGATAATGAACTGAACAAATCACTCTGCATGGATTAAGTTACACGTTCACTGTTTATTATTGACATTTCAGTTGATCAGATCAGAGCGAGCGTCATATCCGTTTATGGCTGATCGGTTTAGTGGTGGCAGCCAATGAGCTCAGTGCTGAAAGGCTGGGTAAGCTGTCAGTACGGCAGAGCTGAGCTGGGGAGCTGCGTCAGCCAGCCTGTAACTAGTCACATAGCTGCACAAACAGTGCGGACTGTATATAGTACAGTGAGGCAGCTTCACGGCACACACACAGACACACTAGCAGCGAGTGGGTCAGCCACGGGCGCGCTGGGTCACTCAGGGTCATAAAGAGTCACAAGGGTCCATCTAGATTACACAGGTCATATAGGGTCGCAAAGGGCTACAAATGTCACACGGTCACATTGGGTCTCACAGGTCACTCCGGTCATATAAGGTCACACAAAGAGAGTTTGCTAAGTACGCAGGGTCACGTGTTAATATGAAGGGATGGTCACTCTGGATTCTGGAGGTCTACGCAAGATCAAAGACCTCCTAAATCAAGGTTAGGGCTTCACTAAAATCTCTATTCTACACGGGTCATGATGGCACCAAAGGAATTCGAGAGCTTAGCACAAATTTAATCTGGTCTCAGGTCAGGGATGCATCGAACTAGAATTTTACAACGCTGAAGTAACTTCACGTCACAACTTTACAACTACACCCGGGTCAGTCACAGGGGTCAGGGTCACTGCAAACCAGGACACGCGGCACACTGAGGACACTCGAGGTCAGGTCACTCTGCGGGGTCACTCGGGTCAAAGCGCCGACCTACCGCCCCCGGTCGGCGGCTCTCACTCCTCCATTATCATTGTACTGTCCTCCCTCGTGCGAGATCGTTTGACTGGGGGTGGGCAGAGGGATCATTGAAACACGCGCACTTATTTAGCGGAGAAAGGGATTTCAGCGTCGCACGGGGGCAAACAAGCAAACGTTCTACATGCTTCAATCTGCTCTCAGAACTTACATCATTGATAGGCTCACGCACTGCATTTTCGGACAAGTACATATACCGCGGATGTGATCGGCTATGAAAATGAAGACGAGCCATCGCGTTCAAGAACGGACCCATAAAGCATAACGATTAACGGGTTTTACCTGACTGGCTCTACCTTGCCTTACGATACCTCTTCCTCCCCACTTAGTCCCCACTTTTCCAATCCCCCTCGGCTACTTACGCGACTTTCTATCAGCATTACGGGACGTCCTTCGTCTCTCCCTGGGTGTGGAGCGGGTGGTTGGACCGCGCGTGGCCGACTTCACCAGCGACTCGAGGATCTCATCGCCGTCAGTCAGCGAGTCGTTGTGGCTGCCCTTACCTGCAGAAGTGCAGAACGTACATCACACGTCAGAACATCGAAGGAGTTTCCAGCATGTTTGACTGTCACTGGACTAAGCGTTTTAACATTTTTCCACCTGCTCCTTTAGTTATGGTTGCATAAAAGTCAGCTCACTTGGGTGCTGATTATTTGGACGATTTTATATTACGTTAAATACAATGCAGGTCAAGAACAGTTTATATCACATAATAGTTACATAGATAATTCAGGGTTGTTTTATAGTCTTCACTCTTCACTGAAGCGACGCATGTACGAGTATGAGCCCGGATTCAGCGAGATCGATAAATATGTACGCTTTTTATGTGGCCATAAGGGATTTAAACGTCAAACACACAGCCTGTGACGGAAAACAGAAATGAAGTAAACACTAACTTACATCTGAGTGAGCCCTCGCCGCACCCAGTTTTAGACATCGTGTTCAGAAATCGTGTGACGTCACTGCACGTGTTGTGTTGACGTACTAAGAACAGGTGCACTATATACCGTTCCCATATCAAGTACAGCTGCACTATATCCCCTGAACAGTATCTAATGACAACAGCACACGACCCACAAGAGGCATCTGCTGTACTGACCACCCCTCTGACTCTGTCATGAGTCTCACTCTGACTGATTCCGACTTCTTAACCGATTCTGATTCTGACCGCCACTGACGCTATTCGACTCACTTTCCCGTTTCCGCCTCCAGTGCATGGAGCGCCTCAGAGTCTCTGTATCGGACACGTCGCTGGTGCCGAGCAGCTGCTTCAGGTCTTCGTCTGCCTTCTCCTCCTTGGTCCGGTACCGACGGTTGGAGCTCGACCGGCCCGCAGGGTCGTACGCCTGACCCGTCTGAGGGCCAGGGGGGGGGGGAGTCAGATGGGGATCAGTAGGAGGGTTTGAGCTTTAATCCGGCTAGTCAGTAGTCAGCTACGAGACTCCATCATAAAGTCGATTAAAAAAGTCAAGAATTTTTATTCGGATTCTACCGGTGCAATTTTTAGCTCTCGAAACGTGCGACTCGAATTTTAGAACGGTGTCAAACATAGCGGTTTCAGCGATGCAAAACCAAGCAAAACTCGACCTAGCCCATTCATACAGAGATCCCCGGTAGCTGACCCACCAACAGGCCAGTGCCACACCCCTCGCCCCTCCCTCTCTCCCGCAGCCGTGTTATGCGATGGGAGGACGCCAGCTGAGCCCCTCCCCCGGTGGGGTCCACACATTGCACCGTGGGAGTGTGGGTGCCCACCTCGCCACTACGGTACAAAGGTCGCAGAGGTGTGACCATGAGCCCCTCTCTCCCGGTGCGAAGGTCGTACGGTACGCTACCAACGTCATTGGCAACGAGTTGTACGGCTTCCGGGAATTAATTCATAAATGTGTTATCGATGCGGTATTAATAAGGTAATGAGGTCGAGCGCCATGACTGCAGCACAATGAAGCTGATGAAATTCGGGGAAGAGGTGTATGAACGGTACTAAATTTGGCAGATAAAACTGACCGGAGCAAGCCATACTAAATGAGGTAGAGCAGAGACCGGTGGGCAAAGTCCTGTGTGCTGCTTAGTGACGTACCTACTTAAGAGTTTGCCAACAATGACCTTATCTCACCTACCTCTCCATTCACCCCTGGTCCTTCATCCTTGGAACCTCACCCCCATCCTTTCGACCTTTTCCCCGCCCGTGCCACTCACATCGGTGATCATCTTTCCTCTGGTCTTGTTCCTCTCGCGGTGGTTAGCCTTCTTCTCGAGCTGTTGGAGGACGCGCTCGCGAGTGGTGCGGTACTCGAGCGCAAACTCGGACACCACCTTACAGAAGTGGTGCGGCTTGGTGTCGCGGAGCTGGTGAGGGGCCACGCCCAGCCACGAGAGGAACTTGCAGAACCTGGCAGAGGGGTGGAGGCTCGGGTGAGTGAGGGAGGGAGAGTGGAGGGAGAGAGGGTGAGACAACAGGTGGGGAGACTCCCAGCCGTCCGTGTCTACCCTCAGGGTGAGCGATGCAAACTGCAGAGCGGGCTCGAGCTGAACTTCAGACCAAAGTGTAAATTGTCTTAATTAGGCAAAAGATCTGGGTAGCAACACAACACCTGATTAGCTAAACGGCACACTAAGAGTTAAGAGCTTGCATGAAGTAATGAATAGTGAACAGTTATACGGACAAAGCCTGCAAGTAACTTATTTCATAAAGTCAACGATGATCGAAATTAAAACATACCGCTGGCTGTAATAATGTGCAGCTAAACCTGACGTTCCGTGTTTAGACAAAGTCTGCCAACACGAACACAGCCCTGCAGGTGATCAGCCATAAGCAAACGCCTACCACATTGTTTCCCGTATACATGAAAAGGAGGCCCCTTTTATCTCATTTTCCGCTCCTCTCGCATAGCTTTCTACGGTCTACCCCACTCTCCTTCCAATCCCTGCCCATCTCCTGTGCCGGCTTCCATATACCTGGCTAACCCCGCTGTGTGATGTGTCCTGCCCCTCTCTCATCCTCCCAAAACCCACCTGTTATTAACCCGTCGGTGGATGATGCCGAGCACAATGATCCTCTCCGCCGAGTCGGCCAGAAACTCCGACATCTTCTGTCGCATCGGCGTCGGCCCGTCGTGCTTGGCGATCACCTTTAGGTGGTCCCACGACGCCTTGCACTCGCTCTCCATCCGTCGAATGGTCGCCTCCAGATCGTCGAAGTCGATACGAGAGGCGCGAGTGACCGGGCCGACCTGGGATGTCGCGGACAGGGGGGAGGGGGCGGTCAGACGAGGGGTGAGGGGTTGGCGCTGTGGCATGACTATGAAGATAGTATGGCGATGATAATGAATGATGATGCTAATTGCTAATCATGATGATGATTATTATATCAACGTCTGATATATTTTAGTCCCTTGCAATAAAACATTGCACTTTAAATAAAGAGCCATATCATTTCAGGGGACCTAACGACGTAGGATGCACTGGTCTCAGTTGGTAAATACCAGACTGCTTCATTATCGTGAATTTGCCGCACACCCCCGAGACCTGCAGAGAGGGGCCAAACAGACGCCAACGGTCGCCTCATCTCGCCGCCCGCTGTTTATCCATACCATAAACAGCCGACAACATGTCCAAGTATGCAGCCATCCACCGGCGCCAGAGCGCTGCCAGCGCCGCCGACCCGACCCGACCCGGCCGCCGCGGTACTGTGCAAAACACACGCCTGGTAACAGAGCGGGTCGGGCTGCGCTCAACGCACCGTGCCACGTCTAATCACCTCCGGCGGCTCAAATCCCGTTTGAGGCGGTTAGTCGTGAAGCTGGGTTTCTACTACGTCTATCAATTCAGCAGCAACGAATATCAGCCTCACAGCAGCATATTTCGGGGTCTTTCGATTTGGCTGAAAATCGGTATACAGGGCCTCCTCGATGCGCTGATTCCGAAAATGTACCTCTTTGGGGTGGTATTTTGCACCGTTAACGAGTTAACGGCCATTTAACATTTTAACGGGAAACGGCGGGGTCTTTCGATTTGGCTGAAAATCGTTATACAGGGCCTTCTCGATGCGCTGATTCCGAAAATGTACCTCTTTGGGATGGTATTTTGCACCGTTAACGAGTTAACGGCCAGTTAACATTTTAACGGGAAACAGCGGGGTCTTTTGATTTAGCTGAAAATCGGTGTACAGGGCCTTCTCGATGCGCTGATTCCGAAAATGTACCTCTTTGGGGTGGTACTTTGCACCGTTAACGAGTTAACGGCCAGTTAACATTTTAACGGGAAACAGCGGGGTCTTTCGATTTGGCTGAAAATCGGTGTACAGGGCCTTCTCGATGCGCTGATTCCGAAAATGTACCTCTTTGGGGTGGTATTTTGCACCGTTAACGAGTAAACGACCAATTAACATTTTAACGGGAAACGGCGGGGTCTTTCGATTTGGCTGAAAATCAGTATACAGGGCCTTCTCGATGCGCTGATTCCGAACATGTACCTCTTTGGGTGGTATTTCGCACCGTTAACGAGTTAATTATCCATTAACATTTAAGCAGCATATATCGATTTCAGCAGCAAATTTTTGGGGTCTTTCGATTTGGCTGAAAATCGGTATACAGTGCCTCCTCGATGCGCTGATTCCGAAAATGTACCTCTTTGGGGTGGTATTTTGCACCGTTAACGAGTTAACGACCAATTAACATTTTAACGGGAAACAGCGGGGTCTTCCGATTTGGCTGAAAATCGGTATACAGGGCCTCCTCGATGCGCTGATTCCGAAAATGTACCTCTTTGGGGTGGTATTTCGCACCGTTAACGAGTTAACGGCCAGTTAACATTTTAACGGGAAACAGCGGGGTCTTTCGATTTGGCTAAAAATCGGTATACAGGGCCTCCTTGATGCGCTGATTCCGAGAATGTACCTCTTTGGGGTGGTATTTTGCACCGTTAACTGATTTCGAAAATGTGCCTCTTTGGGGTGGTGATTTGCATCGTTAACGAGTTAACGATCCGTTAACATTTCAGCAGCATATATCGATTTCAGCATCAAAATTTTCGGGGTCTTTCGATTTGGCTTGAAATCGGTATACAGGGCCTCCTCGATGCGCTGATTCCGAAAATGTATCTCCTTGGGGTGGTATTTTGCACCGTTAACGAGTTAACGATCAATTAACATTTTAACGGGAAACGGCGGGGTCTTTCAATTTGGCTGAAAATCGGTATACAGGGCCTCCTCGATGCGCTGATTCCGAAAATGTACCTCTTTGTGGTGGTATTTTACACCGTTAACGAGTTAACGACCAATCAACATTTTAACGGGAAACAGCGGGGTCTTTCAATTTGGCTAAAAATCGGTATACAGGGCTTCCTTGATGCGCTGATTCCGAAAATGTACCTCTTTGGGGTGGTATTTTGCATTGTTAACGAGTTAACGACCAATTAACATTTTAACGTCAAACGGCGGGGTCTTTCGATTTGGCTGAAAATCAGTATACAGGGCCTTCTCGATGCGCTGATTTCGAAAATGTGCCTCTTTGAGGTGGTATTTTGCATCGTTAACGAGTTAACGAGTTAATGTTCCGTTAACATTTCAGCAGCATATATCGATTTCAGCAGCAAATTTTCGGGGTCTTTCGATTTGGCTTAAAATCGGTGTACAGGGTCGCCTCGATGCGCTGATTCCGAAATTGTACCTCTTTGGGGTGGTATTTTGCACCGTTAACGAGTTAACGACCAATTAACATTTTAACGGGAAACGGAGGGGTCTTTCGATTTGGCTGAAAATCGGTATACAGGGCCTCCTGCATGCGCTGATTCCGAAAATGTACCTCTTTTGGGTGGTATTTTGCACCGTTAACGAGTTAACGACCAATTAACATTTTAACGGGAAACGGCGGGGTCTTTCGATTTGGCTAAAAATCGGTATACAGGGCCTCCTTGATGCGCTGATTCCGAAAATGTACCTCTTTGGGGTGGTATTTTGCACCGTTAACGAGTTAACGACCAATTAACATTTTAACGAGAAACAGCGGGGTCTTTTGATTTGGATGAAAATCGGTATACATTGCCTCCTCGATGCGTTGATTCCGAAAATGTACCTCTTTGGGGTGGTATTTTGCACCGTTAACGAGTTAACGGCCAGTTAACATTTTAACGGGAAAAAGCGGGGTCTTTCGATTTGGCTGAAAATCGGTGTCCAGGGCCTTCTCGATGCGCTGATTCCGAAAATATACCTCTTTGGGGTGGTATTTTGGACCGTTAACGAGTTAACGACCAATTAACATAGACCCCGCCGTTTCTCGTTAAAATATTAACTGGCCGTTAACTCGTTAACGGTGCAAAATACCACCCTAAAGAGGCACATTTTCGGAATCAGCGCATCGAGGAGGCCCTGTATATTGATTTTAAGCCAAATCGAAAGACCCCGCCGTTTCCCGTTAAAATGTTAAATGGCCGTTAACTCATTAACGGTGCAAAATACCACCCCAAAAAGTTACATTTTCGGAATCAGCGCATCGAGGAGGCACTGTATACCGATTTTCAGCCAAATCGAAAGACCCCAAAAATTTGCTGCTGAAATCGATATATGCTGCTGAAATGTTAACGGTTCGTTAATTCGTTAACGGTGCAAAATACCAACCTAAAGAGGTAAATTTTCGGCATCAGCGCATCGAGGAGGCCCTGTATACCGATTTTCAGCCAAATCGATAGACCCCGCCGTTTCCCGTTAAAATGTTAAATGGCCGTTAACTCGTTAACGGTGCAAAATACCACCCCAAAGAGGTACATTTTCGGAATCAGCGCATCGAGGAGGCACTGTATACCGATTTTCAGCCAAATCGAAAGACCCCGAAAATTTTCTGCTGAAATCGATATATGCTGCTCAAATTTTAACGGTTCGTTAACTCGTTAAGGGTGCAAAATACCACCCTAAAGAGGTGAATTTTCGGCATCGGCGCATCGAGGAGGCCCTGTATACCGATTTTCAGCCAAATCGATAGACCCCGCCGTTTCCCGTTAAAATGTTAAATGGCCGTTAACTCGTTAACGGTGCAAAATACCACCCTAAAGAGGTACATTTTCGAAATCAGCGCATCGAGGAGGCACTGTATAGTGAGTATACTGATTTTCAGCCAAATCGAAAGACCCCGAAAATTTGCTGCAGAAATCGATATATGCTGCTGAAAGGTTAACGGTTCGTTAACTCGTTAATTGTGCAAAATACCACCCAAAAGAGGTACATTTTCGGAATTAGCGCATCGAGGAGGCCCTGTATACCGATTTTCAGCCAAATCGAAAGACCCCGCCGTTTCCCGTTAAAATGTGAAATGGCCGTTAACTCGTTAACTTTGTAAAATACCATCCCAAAGAGGTACATTTTCGGAATCAGCGCATCGAGGAGGCCCTGTATACCGATTTTCAGCCAAATCGAAAGACCCCAAAAATTTGCTGCTGAAATCGATATATGCTGCTGAAATGGTAACGGTTCGTTAACTCGTTAACGGTGCAAAATACCACCCCATAGAGGCACATTTTCGAAATCAGCGCATCGAGGAGGCCCTGTATACCGATTTTCAGTGAAATCGAAAGACCGCGCCGTTTCCCGTTGAAATGTTATTTGGTCGTTAACTCGTTAACGGTGCAAAATACCACCCTAAAGAGGTACATTTTCGTAATCAGCGCATCGAGGAGGCCCAGTATACTGATTTTCAGCCAAATCGAAAGACCCCGCCGTTTCCCTTAAAAATGTTTATTGGCCGTTAACTCGCTAACGGTGCAAAATACCACCCCAAAGTGGTACATTTTTGGAAGCAGCGCATCTAGAAGGCCCTGTACACCGATTTTCAGCCAAATCGAAAGACCCCGCTGTTTCCCGTTAAAATGTTAACTGGCCGTTACCTCGTTAACCCGCGCACCGACGGGGGGGGGGCGGATATCCGCCCCCCTGAGGTTTTTCGCGGATAGCGGGAAAACCGCGGCACGTAGCGCCGCGAAATTTGGTACGACTATTCTCTCATCAATTTTACACATGGTGTGCAAGTTTGAACCTCCTAAGTTTAAAGGTCAGGTCACCAGGTCACTTTGAATGACCCAACCTCATGTCACTTTTTTGCAACTTTGTCACCGTGCCAGAGCTACAGTAGATGTCGGAGGCCTTTGAAAGTCGCAGGATGTTATTAGGTCATTAGTAGCTACAATTTGTATATCTCGGAATTTTGATGTCGGTGACCTAAGGTCAGGTCAATTTCGCGACCTCCCCATTATAAGTCAATGGGGGAAAAATCAACTCCCTGTTTTTACCCCTAAAACGGGTCGGAATGGCCCCATATACCATACATGACTTCATATACGATCAACCTTCACTGCCTTGAGGTCTGTTTTGCTGTTGGGCAGCTGTAAGGTCATGTGACGTCATCAAAGGTCACCAGCGGTTTTTTGCCAATAACTCCGTACAGGAACAAGATACAGCCGCGCGGATGGTCTCATTGTGTTCAGCTCGTCAAGACGCATCGAATGATATACATGATGACCTCGAGGTCACGTGACCTGAGGTCAACCTTTGACCTTGACCTTTCGAGGTCAACATATATATCATTCGATGCGGATTGACGCGAGGATCACGATGATGCCCTTAGTTTGTTCCTATCTTGACTAATTCGAAAGTTATTCGAGAAAAACTCTCTCAATATCTAGCGCCGCCATTTTGACTTTTTGACCCCTGTGACGTCATCTTTGACCTGACCTGAAAATGACCTTAGTAAAAATTGTAGACCTTGTCCGTGCGTATCCGATGCCGTTTACCGCTTGTCGCTATCTTGCTTTGTTCTCGAGATCTCAGGGGGGGGGGGCGGTCATCCGCCCCCCCCCCCGTCGGTGCGAAGTTGGCGCAGACCCCCGTCGGTGCGCGGGTTAACGGTGCAAAATACCACCCCAAAGAGGTACATTTTCGGAATCAGCGCATCGAGGAGGCCCTGTATACCGATTTTCAGCCAAATCGAAAGACCCCGCTGTTTCCCGTTAAAATGTTAAATGGCCGTTAACTCGTTAAGGGTGCAAAATACCACCCCAAAGAGGTACATTTTCGGAATCAGCGCATCGAGGAGGCCCTGTATACCGATTTTCAGCCAAATCGAAAGACCCCAAATATTTGCTGCTGAAATCGATATATGCTGCTTAAATGTTAATGGATAATTAACTCGTTAACGGTGCGAAATACCACCCAAAGAGGTACATGTTCGGAATCAGCGCATCGAGAAGGCCCTGTATACTGATTTTCAGCCAAATCGAAAGACCCCGCCGTTTCCCGTTAAAATGTTAATTGGTCGTTTACTCGTTAACGGTGCAAAATACCACCCCAAAGAGGTACATTTTCGGAATCAGCGCATCGAGAAGGCCCTGTACACCGATTTTCAGCCAAATCGAAAGACCCCGCTGTTTCCCGTTAAAATGTTAACTGGCCGTTAACTCGTTAACGGTGCAAAGTACCACCCCAAAGAGGTACATTTTCGGAATCAGCGCATCGAGAAGGCCCTGTACACCGATTTTCAGCTAAATCAAAAGACCCCGCTGTTTCCCGTTAAAATGTTAACTGGCCGTTAACTCGTTAACGGTGCAAAATACCATCCCAAAGAGGTACATTTTCGGAATCAGCGCATCGAGAAGGCCCTGTATAACGATTTTCAGCCAAATCGAAAGACCCCGCCGTTTCCCGTTAAAATGTTAAATGGCCGTTAACTCGTTAACGGTGCAAAATACCACCCCAAAGAGGTACATTTTCGGAATCAGCGCATCGAGGAGGCCCTGTATACCGATTTTCAGCCAAATCGAAAGACCCCGAAATATGCTGCTGTGAGGCTGATATTCGTTGCTGCTGAATTGATAGACGTGTTTCTACTCCACTGCGCCGAACCGTCGCCAGAGCGCTGGATTTGCCGCGGTGGAGGCTACTCACAATCGGCGCACGAGTGAGCCGTGTTCCGCTATAAACGGCACGAATAATTCACTCAGTCCCGAGCGGGCATCGATATCACGCCACTCAGAGGCGGCACGAGACAAACTGAACGGGCGAGCGGGATAGACTGAATGAGTACATCAGAATTCATGCATACAGAATCCAGCGAGTTCTTCTTCTGACTCTACTTCGTCTCATTCATACAACAAAATTAATTGAAAGGATTGTTTGGAGTTTCTGGACAAAGAAGTCCTTGGTTTTTGCATTCACTGGCATTTAATTACATATTGTTGATATAAAATCGGTAACCATAACAAGTAAACGGATAATTGGCTAGGACGAGCTGTTTTGGGAACCGAACGACCTCCTCAGAAACACAAGCACAATAACTGATGGTGACAATGCTCGCTCGATAAATGATCGCATAACTTTATCTTGATCATTACTTTTTACGATAGTTGCCGTATATATCGACTGGGTAGTGTAGAGGAGGATGCTTTATTGATTGTGTACCTGACGCGCATGATTTTGCGATAGCTGCGGTCAGACTTGGAACACCCAGCTGTGGCTCAATACTGGTCTTCGAGGGCCCCGAACCGGGCTCTTCTGAGGGACCCGCACTAGCCTCTGATGAACCCACTTCGGTCGCTGGAGGCTCAATATTGAACTTAGGGTGCCTCGCACTGGGCTCTGAGGGCCCACATTTACCTCCGAGAACTCCACACTGGCCTGTAAGGGCCAGAGGTCTAGCTCCGGTGACTCCCCACCAGTCGCGGCGTTCTGACTGACCCGACTCAGCTCCAGCCGAAATGAGACTTACCTGACTCAACTCCAGCCGTAGTCTGAGTCGCGACTCTCACCTCTGAGTAGAGATCGGACGAGTCGGGGTACTTCTCCATCACCATGTGGCAGAGATGGTGCAGCAGTGAGTGCTTGTGCACCGTATCCTTCACCTCCGGGACCTTGACCAGGTAGTCCACGTTGAATCCCTTCGCCTGCGGAGGATGGCATGGCGTCAGCTATGTGCTAGTGTAGCTGTTTTTACACGGGTTATATGTTACAAATATGCAAAAAAATAGTCCACACTTCACAAGACAACGTAGATATCGAGGGACCTGTCATCTTTCACTTTTACATTATAAATCAATGCATGCTAGCCAAAAGCCTCAGTAAACATTTTCCTTTCTTCCACCCCCTCCTCGAATATCTCGCTCCCAGTCCCCGCCGCGGCCTCTGCCAGTCCCGTATGATCGGTCACGTTTCGTCCTAATACCACACTCGCGCCGATCGTCTCGGAATACCTTGCCCATCCACCCACCGTCCTTCTATGTCCTGCCCGGCCACCCACTCACCTCCGAGCCGTTGAGGAAGTTCCCGACGCTCCTCAGCACCGTCAGGATCGACTTGAAGGTGGCGTTCTTGGTCAGCAGCTCGATGCCCTGCTTGAGGTCCATCAGAGGCTCGGCCACTTCCTGCCGGTGAAAGGGAAGAGAGGGGCGTTTTAACGGTGCCAGATCGGTTGAACGACTGTGATTAACGTATCATGTTTAGTTTCGAGCCCCTGAAACGCATTTTATCCTGAAGTGTCCGTACCTAAGAATAAACATAAATATGAATCGGAAACAGGCTAAAACGGGAAAAAGGCGTATATTGGAGTCGTTGTGACAAGGACACGATTAAATCCTCAGTTTCTTCCATTTCTTCTTGTTCTACACGGCCTCGCTAATACAGATTTAAAAATTATACAATGCTCCGCTGTAAAATTGGAGTCCTGGAACATCCGCGATCTGCCTCCGTCCCAGTGCCCCCGGCATAGCCCCTTCCCCAGACTGGTCACTGAACTTCTCCCTCCCCCACCAGCCCACGTCATAAGCGATTACGACAGAGCAATGCAGACACAAACATTGCCCAGCCCCTGGCGGGAGGGGAGAAGACTGCACCGCCGCTAATAGGACAGAGGTCACCGTCAACTGAGCACCGCAAGGTCAGAGGGGTCACAGGAGCTGGAGGGGGACGACACAGCATGTTTTGGAGCATCAGCCCTGAGAGAGCGCATTCCTGGCTAGATGTGTGTCAGAGTAGACATCATGGGTCGTTCACCGTGTAAGTGACCGGTCGAAATGATGTCATGGGCTGTTGACTAGTCTGAGTGGTCATATGTTTTCGTGTTAGCTCGAAGTACTATGTGCACTGCGAAACACAGCCAGTGACCATTATGTGGGATGACCAGCGGTCGATGGCCAGTGACCTACTAGTAACCAATGGTCCGTGACCGATGACCGGTGGCTGACCAGCGATACTGTCGGTCAGAGTTTAATATGTAATCTATTATGTAACTTGAAAGTAATTTACGATATAATTGTTGATCAGGGATTTAAGACTGGCCAGGGATAGCTGACGTGCGACCACCAACCATCAATGACAGGAAACAAATGAAATATAATCGCTGACCGATGTTCAAACAGTCAATGTTGAACATCGGCCGCTGGCCACTGGCCGACGTCCGATGAGTCGATGACTAATGACCATCCAGGCCGCGTTCATACGCCCCCTGTTTACTCAAAGCCGCAAATCATGATGTTTACATTGCGGCCTGACCGTCCATGCAGCGGTCGGCTGGCGGGCGACACTGTCCGGAATCCGGTCCGGCCCGGTCCTATCCGCCACCGACACTCCCTCGGCGGATAGGAGGCGGCGCCGGCCGCCTTCCGCGTCTAGCACGTGGTGATTCGTACCCAGTGACCGACCCCGGGGAGCAATAGTTGGTCCATGGGTCCGTCCGTCACTCTTTGGTGTTTGGTTCAGGCTGGTGCCAGCTGGCTGGTGATCACTTGCCGCTGGTCTTTCACCCACTCGTTGGTACCCAGTCTTCAGTGCTAGGTTTTCAGTTTGTAGTCCCTAGCGCTTAGAACCTAGTCGCTGAATTAAGCACTTGATTTCTAATCATCCGTCCCTGGTCTCTGGCCCCTGTTTCTCTATTCTCGTTATAGCGGGTCTGCCTCCAAGTTTCCCTCACCCGCACACACGCCGTCGCCTCTGCCCTGGCGCCTGGCCCGTCAGTGGGACGACTCGAGCGCCTCAGACGCAGGAGACACTATCCAGACGGTCAATGTTTCTCAGAAGGCTGCATTCCTCCGTACACAGAACATGCAGACCACATTGGCCACCCATCCGCCCCGGCCAGAGACTTCCGAACAATTCCGGAGAGGTCTGGATCGGGGTCTGACGGAGGGTCTGCCATCTGGTGGCGGGGGTGGAAGATGGCACTTGGCAGTTCCGGACCGGCCTACGAGCAGCGCTAGTGGCCTGCACGGATATAAACCGGACCGTAACTCTGCCCTAAACTGTGTACTGTTATAACTGCCTTGCACTCCGATGTGAAAGGCGTAGCAATCTGTCCCCTGACCACAGTAATCTGTCCGACACCAGTTAATCAGACAAAATTTAACACGTAAGAGCAAGCACCCAAGACTTCAGACAAACCAGCAAACCGGCTATCCCTCGGTTTACTTGGCCCGTCCCGGTCCACAGCGCATACGCACCTTCTCTGTGTTGTCATAGTCCAGTTTGAAGACCCACAGTTTGAGCCGTGCGGCGATCTCTGAGATGGAGCCCAGAGTGAGTAGGAAGTTCTCCGCCGAGCCGAGCGGCAGCTCCGGGTTAGCCACCTGGGCCTCGCTGATCTTACTGATCTCTTCATCCGACGGCAGCAAAGAGAGCAGCTTCTGTGGTTGGTGAGAAGAGAACATGGTTGTCAACAAAAGGGCGTTATGATGCTTCAAGAGTCAAGTATAGACAGAATTATGGTTGACTGTCAACGGCAAATCTAGGTTTTAAGGCACTTTCCAACCGGGTCAAGTGTCTATGGATTGGCCGAATCGGACGGTGCTTTCATTACAGAGCCGCGACTTTACGCAACACAAACTAGGCATACTTTATCATAACACAGTCACCACTACCAGTATGTTCTATGGACTCGCCTCGATGCCCTCCTTGTTGATGATGGTGGCGTCCATTTTCAAGATGGCCGTCTTGATGGTGCGCGGCGGCGGCAGCTTGGTCATGCAAATGTTGATAGCGTTGGACCGCTTGTGGTCCAGCACTACGATCTCCTTGGTGCCCTTCGACTCCTGCTGCTTCTGTGGTCGTGACGTCAGCGGTCAGGTCAGCCATGACGTCATCAGGGGAGGACAACTGTGACGTAGGCAAGTGAACACCCAACACGGCACGGACGTAGAGTCGGGAATATTTTATGAAAGAGTCGAACTCGCAAAGACGCTCCTACACTAAGATCAGCTTCTGCAGTCTGCACTGAGCATCTCAGAAGGATTTTATGAAAATTACGGAAAAAAACAACCAAAGTTTGCAAACCTACAAGTTTATGAAAACACTCCAGATTAAACCCAGCCTTCGAGGTGGGTCGCTTTGCTCAGGCCTAAGCTTAAAAACGTCAAGCCAGCTGTTGAAAACATATTTAGCCCCTGGTGTCCAGAACTCCAGAGCAGTTGTAGGGTCAGATTATACGCGCAAATATGTTAATTGAAAGAAGACCCCATCATTAATGTTTAGCTAATTATAACTGTGCAACGAACACTTTGATTGGGTTGAAGGGAATTTAATGATATTTTGCAGCTATTATGATAAAATTATGTTTAATATGGCGATTAATATAAAAAGTACCACACAAAGTGCTTAAAATGCAAAGAGTTTCGTCAAATACGATATGATATGTGATAATGAAATGCGATGCGTAGCCTGGGTAAGCGTGAGCAATGATTTGCCGGGATAAGCAAACGCCATTATTAATCTACACAATACGGCAAAAGAAGCAGGGGAACTTGTAAACCTTGGTTATTGCTTAAAACAGCCAGCTCCCTTCGATTTGAGGAGTGAACGGTTTTCAGCACACGGGATAATGTCAAAGCACGTGTTACGCTTGGTACACACGTTTGAAGTACCAGGGGTTACGGTAAATTGGGTTACAGTAAGTAGTAGCAAAATGAATAAGCTCAGAGCGCTTTAATAAAGGTTAAGCAGCAAAATCAACAAAATAGCAGACGGCCTTTTGGAAGCGTCATGCAAGGTATATTCCTTTACCTTCAACGCACAACTTGAAATAACATATCATCCTGCCTGAATTATTTAACGTTACAGAACGCACAGTTTAGAGGTCTAACCGCCCACAAAGACCTGCACCTCAGTTCGGGGAGGGCCGGGGGAGGGGGCGTCCAGGGGAGCGGGTTGGGGAAGCCGGGGACACGCCGCACCCGGCGCCGGCGAGAGCTTACCTCCTGCACGTGATGGGCGAGGTCCCAGCGCAGACCGGACAGACAGAAGATGACAGTGGGGAGAGAGATGCGAAAAGAGACTCGGATTAGTACAGCGTCCACAGTGGTCGGCCGGCAGCCCTAACTAACGGCCTCAGCGGCCGACAAAACGGCAGAGGACACGGCCAGCGTTAGTGAGACCCGCCGCCCGCACCGGCCCGCCACCAGCGAGCGCAGCGGCCGCAGCAGGCCCAGGCGGCACCCAGCCGCGAGTTAGTCCCACCTAGGTGGCGCCGGCAGCGCTCACCGCTGGCTACAGATGGCGCTGGCATCACCGTCAGCGTTACCCGTGTTATACCGCCACTGCGTCCCAGCTCAGTCATTGGCGAGTCTAGCGACCCCAGCCACCCGCGCCGTCCCCAAAATCACCCAGAAACATTCACAGAGCCTCGCTGACCCGACGGCGACCGAAAGGTGATAGTTACTAGTTAGTCCCGTGGCAGACCACCGAACCCGGCTCCTACCTTGACGATCAGATCTTTGGCGCGAGATTCGAACAGGTGCTCGAGCTTCTGCGTGTCGACGGCCACCTCGGCGATCTCGTCCCAGATGGTGGTCTGGTTGGCTGGCAGGAACTCGTCCCGAACCTGAAAATAAGCACGGCGTCACCCATACGGAAAGGCTTGGGCAGAGAACACCAGTTTCCGTCACAATACCACGCAGAGCTAGGAAGTAAGCAATTGCTGTCCAATAATTTGAGCGTGTCGGAAGTATTGAGTTTTAAAGCCAAGCAATACAACACGAAACCACTAAAGCAATAAAACACGTCTAAGCTGTGCACTTACCTCCCTCCAGAACAGTTTGACCGTCTTCTTGGTTTTGCCCGGTATCGTCGGGGCGGTGCCGTTGGTCCTGTTCTGATAGAATGCCGACTGTTTGCCGTCTGTGACCGTCCTGCCGGGGCGGCCGCCGGGCGCCGGTGGCGGGGGCGGGGGCGGCATACCGGGCATCCTGGGCGGCGGCGGCGGCACGCCTCCCATGGGCGGGGGCGGCGGCACGCCGTTCGTCCCCACCGACATCGAGAGTGTCGGAAGATCGGCGTCATCTCGATCGTTCAGATCGGAAAAATCCAGATCTGCCAGCACCAGAGGTCTCTCCAGCCCACGGATCAGCTGCTCCCAGTGCAGGTCGTTCTCGGACTTTTTGGGCGCCTCGGGAGCCGCCTGTCGCACCACCTCGGGACTCTTGAGGTCGTGTTTGCTCTTGGAGCGCGACAGCTCCTCCTTGGCTTTGGAGATGAGCCCGCTGGTGTCCCCCAGCCGTCCGGGCCGCTCCTCGCCCGGTGAGAGCGGGCTCGGCTGGCTCAGCAGCTTCTCCCGCAGGTCCCGCACGCTGTCCTGTTTGAGGTCCAGCTCTAGTCGCCGCCGGGAGGCCTCGTCGCCCTCCACGCCCGTGGTGGGGGCCGGTGGGTGCTCGTCGGGCGCCTTCTGGTACATCATACCCAGCACCCAGGGCTTCTTCAGGATGCCGGACTCAGTGCGGCAGAGCGGCGCCGGCCCGTGGTCCGACTGGGGAGACAACGTCAGAAATTGTAAGTGAGGGAAAGTGAAGATAGACGTAATTGGGGGAATGTGGAAGAAAATACCTAATTGACACAATGTAACAGCTAGAAATAAAGCAACAAAGTTGGTTTATCACGACGGCGACGGTTCAGAGAGTCGTTGCACCATTCAATGTTACCTCAACCCTGTCCCAACCCCATCCTCACGCAGCCGTTGCCCATTAGGACCAAGTCCCCTTCCCCACTCACGCCCAGGGAGCTGGGGTCGCGGTTGAGGGGCACGCCGCCGGTCGCCGGCGGCTCCAGGCGGCTCAGCTGCGCGTTCTTGCGGTTCTGCTCGTCAGTCCTCCTGTCCGCCTCCTCCTTTTCCGGAGAGAGTGATCCCCGCTCCTCCTGTTCGCGGATGAAGCTCCTCTGCCGCTCCTGCCTCTCTCGGCGCCGGCGGAGGCCCGGGGTGACGCCCATCTCGGCGTCTGGGGGAGCAGGGGACAGTGGGTAGATGGGCATTGTGCATGGTAGATGAAAGTTGGTTAAATGAAAGTTATACGATGCCCAGCCGTTACAAACCTATTCATGAGTGTAACCAAGCCACCACGCCACCGTTTACATGGACAATGAGGAGCATGGGCTATCATATTCATAGACTCTACTCTGAGACGATTTGCAAGACAAATTAGCACCCAAATCGTACTCCGTCCAGCTAAATGGCTGTCATTGAACCCGTGCTTTTGTAGTCTGCACCAGGGTAGGGATTTGTCTGCACAACGCTCACGCTGCACGAACAGGAAGCTGTGTGCGTTGAACTAATATTTGACGGCGCAATACAACCGAGCAGTTTGCACCTCACACGTGGTGAATTTACGACCTGTCTTAGCTCCGAACGCGAATGTCTTGAGTCACTGCCCGGCCTTGAATTTTGCACATGTGCAAAAAGGTGGATTTGTAAGCAAACGTCGGACGGGTGTTAGCGAAGCTGTTTGGGTGCTTAGCGGTGGCGTAAGAAACGCGCAAAGGCTCGTGTCCGGTACCGGGAAAGGTTAGCTGACCATACCAAAGTAGTGAATTAGCGCTCAACTAACTCTCATTCTTTCCCGTCGCACCATGAACTCTGCAACAAATCGCCACCAGTCTCTTTGATCATTTGTCAGCCGTTCAAGCATTCAAATAAACCATTCATGACATCTCGATCACCTTTCATCCACCGAACAGCCGTTGCCTTGTGCCTGCCCTGATAGGTTCTCTGAAATTGCTTCCGTCATACTCCGGGCCCTGCTTCGATATACGGCGTCCCCAATAATATACAGTTACCTTCAATATACCCTCATACAGGCTGCTCCTGTCCTCTTATCGCCACTACGTTATCAGATCCATCCCCACTAGCCGACCTCCACCCCTCTGTCCAACCCCCTCTCCCCCGCTCCAAGTCCACCCACCGGCACCTAGATGGTCCTCTGAGAGTCGCCCTATGCCGCCCCGACTCCACGGCACCCAGCCTGAACTGGCGTCCTGTCTGCCCCGTCATCACCGGCTCTCAACAGCGTCTCTCTCCGAGGAACACTTTGTCCTCCTTCTGACATCATCCAACATCGGCTATGACATGCCGGCAGGGCTAGAGAGCGACGCTTCTGACGCAGTAGCGACGCTCTCAGCGCAGCGGCGGTCGGCGGTGTTGACAGGTCGCCGCCCGACGCAAATAGTGCCGACGCACGTTCAAGTGCACGCGGCGCGGGTCAGCTGAGCTCCCACGCCCACGCAGAGGCACGAGCGCCCTCAGTGCGACCCAAAACACCCACAACAGTGCACACCTGGCTCGGCAACGGGACGGGACGGGACGGGGCGGGGGTAGCAAAACCGACCATTCAATGATGGAAGGTCGGGTAGAGGGGGTCTCCGCCTAGTATGAGGAGTCCTTATAGCTCAGCGATGGAAGACATGGGACATTGACGGGTAGTTAACAGTGAAAGATAACTATTTGTTGGGAGAGGGATAGTGGCTTTGGCAGCCCATCGGTATTATTACCAATGCCAGGAGTGGGATGATTGAAATGAATCAGTGGGCTTATTTCAACAATGGTTGGCCCCAGTCCAGATTAGTTCGGTGCACTGAATCATTTTGAGCCGTGGTATCACTGCAGACAGAGTTTTCTGTAAGAATTGGCGCATTCGATCACATCCATGATGAAAACAAACGAGCAAAAAGAAGAAAAAAAACGGAAGCGTAGAAAGCTCAGACAACAAAATGTTATCCACCATCACTCGGAAGCATGCCCCTTTTCCTGATCGATACAAATACTGACCTTTCCCAATTATTCCCTTTGCAATCACTATTTTCAAATATGCCGCCCCGCCCCTCCCCTCCCGTCCTCCCTACCAGTTACCACTCACATTTGGCGGCGTCCTGCTGCGAGCCCGAGTGTCCGTTGATCTCGACCCCAGCTCCGGAGCTGCTCGGCCCGTCTCTGGCGAACATGCGCCGCCGGTCGCTGACGGTCCAGTTCTCGCCGACCGGTCGGTAGAAGGCGAACGTGGGCGCTCCACCCTCGCTCTCCTCTTCCGGAGAGCTGGGCGAGTCGGAGGAGACGCGGCGCGTCGAGAAGCGTCGCGAGCGACGCCGCTGGTCGGGCTCGCCGGCCGCGCCGCGCCGCAGCCGCGGCAGCGTCCTGACGGGGGAGCCGACAGTCAGACTGAGAAACCGTTGTGGGGATTCGGCACACAGTGGCCAACGGGGCAAGAAAGGTGCTGATTATGGATCGGGAGTCACTGACATGAAGCAACGAGGTGGAGGTTACGAGTTGCGACTACCAAATGATTGTACGCTTATTTGTGACGTTTAGTTATCGACGCAACTGAAATAACACAATTAACATTGGATGAAAGGCTTGGTCAAAGCACCTAGACCAGCCACACTGCCGTTCCCAATTGACCTAGCGCGTCACTAAACTGATGCTGGTGTCCGTCCTTCCACCACTGACCTGATAGGCCACTGACAGTGACCTGTCTCACCACTGACCTGATACTGGCGTCCGCCGGCATGCTGTTGCCGTCCGACTCGCCGTCCTCCTTCCGCAGCACGGCCTCGTAGATCTGCAGCTGCTGAGAGAGCTCCGGCTCCGTGTCCGCACGGGAGAGGTACCTGTCGAGAGGACAGTGGCTGTGAGAGGGACAACACACGGCCTTTTAGATCTGCAGCTGCTGAGAGAGCTCCGGCTCAGTGTCCGCCCGAGAGAGGTACCTGTCGAGAGAGGACAGTGGCTGTGACTCAGAGAGCGTAGGTACAGCTGTAACCGTTATACCAGCTCAAAACAATGGCAGATACCTACTGGGAAGGGAACGGGGAATACACTTGTATCGCTACGTCCGGCTTCAGAATCATTAGTCGATGTCTGGTAGCATTATCCAAGTCCTTACGTGCGTGTGATGTAGAACTCGGAAGTAGTTGTTTGGGTCATCTTGATCTCAGCTCCGATGGATACAGATCACACAGACACACCACTAACACTCAGCTACCACACACGCATCACCGCTAAATACAGAGTGCTCGTGACACCCACGGCGAGCACGGCTCAAAGATAGCGGGCACAGCGTGGACAGCTGAGGCACCAGCGCGGAGACGGGAGACACGACGGTGCACTATCGCCGTTGTGTTGATTCTACCGCGTACACAGCCTCCCGCACTGTCACCGGCGGCTGCCGCGGCTGCCAGTACAACTACCGTCCCGTCCCGTCCAGACTGACGGTGGCAGCAGCACACCCAGGGGCTATGGCATGCTACCTCAGTTCGCCGGTCCAGCACCATTCGTTGATCACAACTGACGCTGTAGATCGCTCATGGTCGACCTGATCCGCCGACAAACCCTCAACCACCCCAGCCTTACATCAGACCTGGCCTCGTCGTCACACACACAAAATCTCCATCACATCCCCTCAGGATCCACAGCTTCATCAGAGTCCAACAGCTGCACCTGAACTAGCCCTGGACGGTGCGGGACCAGGAACTGACCGACCTGACCCCTGGCACCGCCCCTGCCTCCACCGATTGAGAGCTCGTGTCCACAATGGCGCTGCCGCTGCGTGCCGGCCCGTGTCGCGCCGTATACCACACAGAGCGAGGTGTCACTCTATTTACTGTACCACAATGTGTGGAGCGTAAATGCAGAGCGGGGAGGGGCGCCCTTAGACCTGTCAATGTGACCGGTATGGGAGTAGGGTCGGGTGGTGTCCGGTTGGGGGGGGGAGGACAGGCAGGAAGAGGGGACAATGGGTGATTGGGGGAATGCTACAAAAACATGCAATGGACTGGAATAGATGCGTCATACGCATTGAACCGTGGTAAGTACTATGGCACACCAATGACATAGTAACTCATCCGCAGGGGATACGAAGTGGATAATAGTCATGTGTCATGGCGGGAAAACATCGCGAATAAAGCACTGTTGTATCTAACAATGCAACAATGCGGGACACATAAATGATCGTAACGCATCAACTATCACACTATAAAAAAAAAAAATGATCAGAACACGTACATTCGGACACCGATTTAGAACAATCGGCAAGCACAATTGATAACGGAAATTTAAGACATTTAAAAAATTCAGTCACCTTGTTTGGACATTTGATAACCGCCTAATATGTCAAACAATCAATAAACCATCCCGACATTCAATATCCGCTCCTCTCTCGCAGTGACGCGATCGATCCCAGTAATCTGTCCGGTAAACAAACAAACAGAGCCGGGAGCCCCCCCCCCCCCGTCGGCTGTCACACCAACTCGAATAGATCACACCTCGTTCGGGGCAGCATCATCACACATCCTGTCGCTCGTTTTCACGCATCGGTGCACAGTGCACAGTGCACACTGGACAGCACGGCATCGTGACGCAGTAGGGACGCGACTGAGGCGTTCAAGTGATACACGATGATGTGATCACCGTTAGTGGACGGTTATTGACGTGACATCATACTGACGTAAGCGAAGCTGGCATAGTGTGACGTCATAGGAACGTGACGATAACGTCACCACGATTCGATCGTGACCATGATATATCACGGAGCCCTGCTGACCGCACTGACCGCGTGAGGTCGTGTTGGGTATGCTGACGGAAAGGGAACACCCGTGGCAAACACCTCACCGCACTACGACCTTCAACGAGACACAACACTCACGTGATTGGTGCGTCCGACCACAGCGGTCACCACAGCAGGTCACGAGATCGACGTTGACTATAAGCCTGTGGCCTGTCACATATCAGAGGTCGAACGGCCGTGTGATTTGCATGCTACAACGACGCGAGCTCCAGCATTCCTTCTACCGGTTGTATAACATACCCTTTCTGTGTCCCACCTTACCACGACTTGCACCTTCCAAAATTACGTGTCTAATACCATCATACACAATCACCCCAATACCACCGACCCAGTCCCGTCCCTGCCCATTGCTCACTTGTTGGTAACGGCCTCGATGCCGAGCTCCTCGATCCAGTCTGTGTTGTCGTAGAACACTGACTGGTCGTCCACAGCGTTCAGCGCCTTGTTGATGAGGGTGATGGCGAACACGAGTAGCTCGGCGTCGGCGGCGTCCGACGACTTGAGCAGGGTCATCAAACCGTGCCACGGAGTCCGGCCTGGGGGGATGGGAGGTCAGGTAAGGTCAGGTCAGGTCATGACAGGTCATCAGATCGTGCCACGGGGTCCGGCCTGTAGGGGAGGGGAGGTCAGGTTAGAGCGTCATCAGACTGTACCATGAAGTTACTACGGCCTGTAGGGAAAGGTTAGAGTGGGTCAAAGCGTTATTAGACCGTGCCACAGAGTCTGGCCCGGTCGAGGGGAGGTCAGGTCAGGTCAGGTCAGGTCACATCAGGTCAGACCGATGAGTCATAAAGGAACGCAACGATAAATGAGACTAAGGAACATGCATGACTCTTTTACATCCATTAAAATGTATAGTTACTGTACCTAGGCCATGACCTCTGGCAATTCATTCATTAAGGTCCCCTTTAAGTTAACAACATCCTAAAACTCCTAACTCCACTATCCCTCCTCTTTCCCACCGGCTGCCTCTCCTCACCTCTCTCGCGGTCGACGGCTCCGACGGCCCTAACCAGCAGCAGTCCATTGGGCTCTGTGTACTCGACGAAGACGAGCAGCAGCTTGAGTGCCGTCTTGACCACCAGGCGGTACTGCGAGTCGAGCAGTGTGTACAGCCATTGGATGGTCTCCGGGTGCTCCATGACACCGTTCATGCCGTCCACGTACAGCATCACCTGGCCGAGAGCTGCGGGAGGAGGTATGGTAAGTAGTGGCAGGCCCAGGGACAGCATATTCAGCTGGTCGAGAGCTGCAGGGGAAGGCACAGTCAATGAGACATCTTCAGACGTAGCATATTGGGCTGACCGAGAGCACGCGAGGGGGCGATACGGTGATTGCAAGTTATCAATATACGACACGTTCAGACTAAAAGGAACCATTGAGAGATACAGGAAACATGGTTAAAAGTGTGGAACAAATAGATACAGTTAATTGAAGAAGGACCAAAACTCAATAAACATCGGCTTTCTCGAGCATACCATTTAAAAGACAGAACGGGCACGTCCCGGCATTTCGATGCCATAACCACTCGGAAGGAGATAAATAATCAAAAACACAGAATGCCGGTCACGTCTAGTAGCATTAAATATTGGACTACGGAGGTGGCAAGGTGGCAGTCTAAACCAGCTTGTCAGCAATATTTCAAATAGCTCGCTGCGATAACGAAACGTGACTTTATTCCAAACATCTGTGGGCGCGTGTTTTCGCTCCGATCCGGACTAACGATTAACAATCTGTCGCCGCCGCCAACACCGATTCGATCGAAACTCAAACGTCACTGCCACTCGAGCCCCGGCGAACCGCGGGGTGCGCTCTCAACAGATGACCGTCACCCCAGGCCTGAGCGGTTCACCAATCACCCTCGGTCGCAACAAGAACAACAGGACCGCCTGGTGAGCGGCTCGGGATGGAGACGTCACAACCGCCGACTGGGGTGGCTGGGTGTCCGTCTCTTACCGCCCACCGCCTGATCCCTTCCTTATACCGATCAACAGCGCCCACCCATCGGGACCATTAGACCAGCTCACGACCGGGCGGGTCAGATTAACTCAGTATAGCTGCAGCGAGGGCGACTGACAAGGCCCTCGCTTCCACTACACCAACTAACCATCTACATTTATCGGAACATATCGCAGCGCCGGGCGCCGCTAATTACCACATCTATCCGCGGTCTGTTCCTCGCCGCAGTTCCGGTGCTAAGATCCAGCGTGTTTCCATACTGGTAAGGAGACAAACCGCGCCGTTTAAAACACAGCGCTGCCGCCCTGTACCAATTATTCAGTGTCGCGACGAGAGCGCTCCCTCCCTGTTCTCCTTCCTACAGAGCTAACTCCTCACACAAATCAAGAGTTCCGCCCAGGGTGGGAGATACAGCCCTGGCCGAGGGAAGGGCGGGCTCACCTCGTAAGATGTAGTTCTGGTACTTCTGGTCAGCCTCCATGCCCACTTTGATGAGACATTCGAGGCCATCGTTACAGACAAACTCGTGCACAAGATCCTTATCGTCCTGAAATAGACCAGCAACGTTAGTATAAATGGCGTAGTTATTTATATACGAGGTGTTTATCAACCATTTTAAGGATTTACTGATTTACTGATGTGACAGAAACTTGGCAATGCTCGCTGTGCACAATTAATGTTCACGCGTAATCTGACGTACGTATGTTATCAGATTCAGTAGCGTCGAGTCGACAAAAATACACCGTTATCCAAACCAGGACCTGGTCCGAACCATAAACCATGCTTGCGCAGTTAAGGCCTCAATTTTCGGGGAGCTTTAAATCCCGTATAAAACTTGCCACCAAAGTCAGCGTCATGACCGTGAGCTTAGTGATGTAGAGCAAAGTCTAGTCATTGTATGCATAGTAGGTCTGCCTGCGCCCTGGCTGAGTGCGGGTGCTGACATCCCGACCAATCCCCATTCTGACAATGTGATGAACACAGATCCTTCCAAGATACCCAGGGAACAGCGAACCCGTTACTCTCAGCCTGATGGGACAGAGATACAGGCCGTATTCTACATAGATGAGGTGTCGACGCAGAGACATTGTCTCCGATATGAGGTGACAATAGGTGTTCTGCGGTGCAGATTCATAGAACTACCGTTCGGTGCGGGTCCAAGAAACTGAACTTCGGCAGCTAGTGCCATTTGAAAGGACAGTTAACTGCTCCATATGTATCACATATGCAGAATGCGACATGGACCGCTACATGACAGAATTCATGCAATGCGAATTTCGTTCATTCTACACGACAAATTCGACCTTCCTTTTATGTATGTTAAATGTACATGCACAGTGTGAAACGCATAGTCTGTCCACGCCCCACCATCACTGCCTCGCAAACGCACCTGGAATATCTGTTTGAGCGAGAACAGCGCCCTCCGCAGGTCCCGGTCCTGAGAGTTGAGCAGCTTCTCTGAAACAAAACAGCACCATCGGTTAATCACCTCGTCAAATATTGACTCACGTTCCGAGCCTATGCCACCGTCCCGTCAGAGGCGGTCTCGCACATTCGTGCCTCCAGTGCCGGAGCCGTCTTGGCTCAGAGCCCAGCGGAGCGGTCGCCGCCGCTCGCGTTTGAAAACAAACGTGCCGGCGATCAGACGGCAGCACCGTCCCCGCCCCCGCCCGCAACCTTGGCGCACATCTGTCTGCAGCGTTTGCGATCGCAGGCATCATCAGTGGCTCGGTTGCAGCCGCCGAGGGACCGGGACAAATGGCACTTCACGGGGACTGCAGCGGCCGCAGGGGAACATAACACCAGAGACAATCTCCAGACACGCCCGTCGGCTGTTCTACAAACTGGGCCCATCGCAGAAATATTGAAACGTTTTGTTCTTAGATGGTAGTTCAGAATCTGACTTAGGTACGTGGCATGGTTTGCCATTTCCTTCCACACTTTGTCAACATTTTCTGAGGCACGACAGTCATCCTCAACATGTGCCAACGCCAGCTCATCCTAGTATCCAAACCGACCGTCTCTGAGCTGAGCTGGAGACCCCGGCCCGGGGAGGGTGGGACGGGGTCGGAGCAGTGCCCAGTGGAGCAGACAGTCGGCCGGCCGGGGCGCAGGCAGCAGATGTTGCCGTGTCAGTGAGCCAGTGACTGCGGCAGAGCGGCTGAGCCGCAGGTGTGACCTGGATGAGCCCCGGAGCGCCGGTGGATGGTGACAGGTGATGGTTTGGGATGCCCTAATGACCGTGCGCGGGGTATAAGCGGGTGCTGGGGTTACAAGAGAGGAAGGTGAGATGGAGAGGCGTCATGTTGCAACGTTCGTAGAGCATCCACTGAGGACATCCGATGCATGTGACGATCGCAGAGGGCAGGAAAAAGCGATGTTATCAGAAAGACGAGCCTCGATAAATAAAGACTTTCTCAACAATTAAATCTATTCGTTTCCAAGGCACATAAGAGCATCATACCCTGTTAAAAGATACGCATCAAACTCCAAAAAATAAGAGATACAATTGTCCTTATAACATTCAAATAAATAATTCAAAGACGTTTTCCGACAGCAACTCTCTGCCTAGGGAATGGAGTACTGCCCCGGCGGTAGCTCCGATGTTCCGATTACCGTCAGTTCACACTGACATCCGTGATCAAAGGGCTTCTGTGGCTGCAAACCATTTAGCAGAGTCCATCCCTGACGGCGATGCCGCGGCATTTAGACGATTTATTCCCACGATAAGGAAGCAAAACACTTTTCAAGGACAGACAAGAAACAGGTTAGGTAGCATTCTACATGCCATACCTGCAAACCACAAGTCGGATGCTTAGAAAAAGTGATAATGGATAAGAGTGAGAAAGTGACTTGTATCTTGGAAGCGGTCGCCTTTCAGACCAGAGTCACGACCCACTCACAGCAGAAGCAAAAATTTCCAAAACAAAATACTGTGAAGGGAGTCGGAAACAGGGAGCCAAGACAAAGGGAAGCGTTTAATTTCATGACCCATTCGGGTCACGGGAAATGAGGAATCCACCATTTCTCTTTGAAGCCGATATCCTAACTGGCATATGAATTCGCTGGCATATGACGGCTGTCGGTTTGGACTAGGATGAAAATGGAAAGGATATAACCATTCAAACGCAGCCTCAGTTTTTACATCTTTCAGTACTGAATTTGTAGTTTGTAATTATATTAAAGAAACGAACAAATCATACTGCTCGGTGTGAAACCGTACTTCGACGCCGTAAGGATTCCCAGTCTCGTTCAAACAGACCCGAGCATGTCTGTCTGGCGTCTGCCCCCGGTGTCATCTCACCCCGGTACTCGAGTATATACCAGCTGCACTCCCCAAGTAGCTCGGCTATGCCGTCACGTGACGTCGCTGTCGGCGGCGACTTTATTGTCGTTTCCCAGCGTCACCCGCCGCCGACAGATCACGTGTCAGCGGTTCGGGCCCGTCTGTCGACATACCGAGCTTGTTTGGCGCTGCGGTCCCACCACGGATATCGCACCGGCGCATATTGCTGTTATCCAGTTACCGCGGCTAGGTCTGCTGAACTTTCACTAAGAACGTTGGTGATCGACCATACCTACGGATATTTTAAAACGTTGTGGAAATCGAAATATGAGACATTGAGACAAGTGTTAGGGTCAAGTGTTAGATTGAAGCCCAAAGTTGTCGCCTGTTTACGCTTATTAGCCCGTTCTTCCCTACACAGTACATATGCACGAAGTGCACAAGTGCACAGTGCGGTCGTGAAGTCTTGCTCCCGCCGTGGGGGCGGGGGAGGGGGCAAAGGTGACCTGACATGAAAACCTCACTGTCAGAAGTGGGATTCGAACCCACGCCCGGAGAACCGGACTGCGACCTGAACGCAGCGCCTTGGACAGCTCGGCCATCCTGACGTCTATCGTCATGAATTTACGTCCATAAATATTTTTTTTCATAATATTTTACACCGATATAGCCTGTAATATTTTGGCTACAATCCCACCCATCATCAAGAGCAGCCAAGAAGTTGTGAGAAACTATTGATCCTAACCGAACGAAAAGACGGTACAAATTGACCTAGAGTGACCTAGGCTTTGCTTTACAGGCATTCATGAAGCAAGACAGTGTCCGAAATAGGTATAGGTATTTTAATTCAACATGGCTCGACCGTTTTGTTTTAATTATATTGACACCTATCTACTGGAGCTGGAAATAGTCGGGACACGGTCAGAAAAAAAAAACGAGACACCAACTTACCGATGATGGCGTGGCACCGCACTGACAGCTGGGTACGAACCACCAGCGCGTTCTTCGGACTGAAACAGAGGAGAAATAACGGTGTCAAGATAGCTCCGGTCTGACAGCACATCGAAAAGGCACGGGTTCATAGCATCAGCATTAATGTGACAAGACGGACCGCAGGGGGGGGGGGGGGGGCTGAGGAGGCCAGACGGTTAGCGGTGCCCGGTGAGCGGCTGACAGATTCCGGAACTACTGTCAATGGAGGCCGATGGTTGAATGCGATATGATATATGTGCGATATTGCACCCTTCACTTGGGTGACAAGTGGACATCGACAAGCTCGTAAGCCGTGGCAATGCATATCAAGACACAGTTCGAGGCATGATAAGATGGTCGAATGGCTATGCATATAACCCGGGAACGGGACTTATAAGCTCAATCGAAGCGAACGAACAGCTGTTCGCCGTCACAGTTAGCAAGTTGAAGCTTTACAGCACATCCTACCAATATGAAGACAAAATGTCTTTCAAATCTGTTGAGGAAAACATTCCGCTGCCTTCTTTCATCAAACTCAACACACACCCGTCAAATAAAGGCTGTTTTACGACCTCCCTACATCTTAGCCTATCCGCCACATCCCTTCACCCGGTAGCTCGATGAGGGGTACGCACGCGCCTCGATAAAACAGCCGCCCGGTGTGTGTGCACGGTCATCCCGGTCCCGGATTAAACTCGCCACAGAGGAAAGAGCCGTGAACAGTGAACAGCCCCCGGTCACGGAAGGGGTTCATGGCGCATGTGCTGCCACGGGTCAATGACCGGGCACACAGAGCCAAGAAGGGAGCTGATCTCTTCGTTGACACGCACAGGATGAAACATGGAAGGGTTCATAGAGGCCATTGCATTGGTGTGAATTGATTTGCTGTTCCTTATGTGACTTGTGTGAAACTTAAATCTACTATATAGTTCGTGCGGGTATCTGATATCTCAATAGCGTATGGATGTATAAGCTTTTTAATTTCTTGACAAACTCAGTGAGTCAGTGTGCATCCTAGTCAGAAGCGTACCAAATCCGGTCTCGTTTCGAGACACGACTCTCAATCCAACTGCAACCAGCCCATAGCAGAGTCTTCCATTTCAATTGTGGATGAGCCTAATAAACCCCGGCATGTGCGCAACACTACAGCACAAAATATCTTGTTACTACGCCCTTGCAGGTTACGGTTCGCAGCTGTTCTTGCTACTGCCTGCACCAAATGACAACTGTGGCGCCCCTCGCTGCAAAGTGCCCACTCTGATAAGATAAACGATGTCAATAAGCGCCACAGACAACATAACTGGACCCGAGTTGCGGACAAAGAGTGACGAGGGGTAGGCAGAGTGTACTAAGATTGGCTGCTTATTTCAGGAGCGATTGTGCATTGTGCACTTGAAGCCATCATTGGCTACTCAGTTTCGCATCGCATGGTAATTTGAGTTTGAACTTTGAGTGCTGTGCATACTGTATGCGACGTTTTCGCACGAGTGTCACAAGCACGCATATCCTACATAGGTTTAATTAACACGTAAACGATGCTATTATTTTATCGACAGTTCAGCGTGATTTGCAACGACAGCTTCAGACTTTTTCACCTCAAGCCTAAGGGAAGAATAAATGCGGACATTATACCTATCTTCCCATGCATTATCAGCATTATCAAATACCCATCGCGCCGCCTGAAGTTAAAAGCGCTGCGTTCCATTCCGTCAACCCGTTAGAGGTGATGTGACCGTCACACTCACTATCTAAGCGGGTTCGCCGAAACACTTTGCAGCGTTCATGTCCCGTGTCCACTATAGCAGTGAAAGATAATGCAAATACCCAGACCCCTGACAATTTCGAGGGGCTCAGCTACTTCACTCCGCACGCCAACATGAAGCCGACAACACGCTCCGTGAGCAGGGAAGCCGGCGTCACCGACTGGGTTACACCCACAGCGTGGGCGCACCGGACGTCCAAAAACTGGACTTCAAACGGTACGGCGCATAAAAGATACAGGCGATATATAGGTACAAGAGATATAAAGCAACCAAAGCAGCTAATTCATATACGAGCTGGTCAGCGATTCCGCCGCCAGCAAAGGGCTTTCCAAATTCCAATCCCACAAGTTACAATCGACTTCCAGTTGATTTCAATAGGCGAGGGAATTTCCAAACCTATAAATAAAATACGCTGCTATCTGCGCAAAAACTCTGGCAAAGTATATCGAAAACGCCCTAAAAACCCCACCGCCGACGGCTGTGGGTAAATTATCGGCCGATACCGAACCAGAATCGAGCGCTTCCGTGAGCAGTATCGGTGTGAGATCTGACAGCGTGACTGGGCCAGACACCACTTGCGCTGCCCCGCCCTCTGACGCGTCAGGTCACCGAGTCGAACCCACCAACCTGACAGGGCGCCGGCTATAATGACGTCGTAACTGTGAGATGCCAGGATGTTCACGGCCAGTCGATCATGAATCCTTAGTGGCTGGCATCCTGTCAGGGGAGATTTGAGAGCCCTTAAACGACTTCAGTCGTTCGAGCCAAACCCTCCTTCTTTCCATACACTATGCAGACAGACATGTGACTGCTCACTGCTCAGATGCAGATAAAACGCAGACTGTTTCTCTCACGCCACCCACAAGACCATGCCGTCACCGCCACCTGCGCCGGCCGCACCGCCGTCGGTACCGTCGGGGTCCTCTGGCCGGCCTCACACACGCTCACACGGCTGGCAGCGGCGGTAGGAAGCTGGCGGAGGGCCAGACCAGCCGGTGGCAGCCGCCCGCTCGGCCCCGGCCCCGTCCCGCCCCGCCCCGCTCTCTGCCCCGCTCTGTCCCGCACAGGGTGTCCGCCTGCAAAACCGGTCCACGCGGCGCACCGCCACACCTGGACAACGGGTGCACCGCGACTGGCACTGTCATCACTCAGACCGGGAGAGGCGGCATGGAACTGAGTGGTCTGGCTCCTCCTTCAGTCCAGTCTTCACGCCGCTGCATAAAACCCATTGGTATCATGCTAACGAATCGACGGGAAGAAGCGACACATGGACCTTCAGTGACCTCAAAACTGTGCGTCACCAAACTAGCCAAATGGGTTGAATAAGTTCCATAACCACTAATGACTCAAATGGACTCATCTCAGATTTGCTATCCTTGCAGCCACAACAGTCCGACTCTTTTTCGGTCCTGAGCCCGCTCCCGCTCGTCCTCACAAAAGGGCGGGGGCGTTTGTGAGCTCCCGCCCGTCTAGCTCGGCATTCTCGGGCGCCCCGCCGGCTGTGTGTCAGTACCGACGCGTTTTAGCCGGGTTGTGTCAACAGGCGAGCGCCGCCCACCGGCGGCTGATCTGGGACGGGTCGGTCGCCAGCGGTGAGTCAGCCACAGTTGTGACCTGTGGGCGCGTTGTGTGGAGCCACTGCAGGCCCAAGTCTGTCAGTATGACCCCAACAAATCACCATGTGGGAGCGTCCCTCAGCAGTAGAAGCATGGCCGTTCGGAGTTTATATAACTAGCACCGCCTCTATATGCTGCAGACTGTCAACCAGATCCACATGGTCACAGGAGTGGTCGCCGGTTAGGACAGCAGTCAGCAACAGCCCCCTGCCCTGTGACCAGACCGGTCCAGTATTCTGATCAGGTCTCGCCTCGGGTCACAGCGGCCCTCTGATCAGTCCTCCGCCGAGCGACCGTTCAGAATACATGAGCCACTCGAGAGCGAAAACGGCCGGCATTCTTTGATCGGCACTACCCATCACCTAGCGGCGGCTTGCCACCGAACGTCATCCATTATTCTAGCAGACAATTTATTCCCCGATGCACTATTCATTTCACATGTTGCCATGCGATGTAGTGACACGTCAGCCGTTCATGATCAGCCGTTCAGGAACAGGGCCTGTCTTTGTCATCATAGGCGAAAAAAAAAAACTCGAGAACATGATATGGTCAACGCTATACTGATGAGTAAGTTATTACCAATAAGTTAGCAGTTCGAATATTTATTGGCATTGCTCCCGCTAGATGGCACTAGCATTCTTGCCTGAAGGTAGACTGTACCGCAATGCACATGACAAAATGCGTGCAGTCCCATAACATCGTCCTTATTCAACAAACGTTTTGAGCATCAAAGAGGCGAAGTATCTAAGGGGCGGTCGTCTGGTAGGACCAATGATGCGTCTAAGCTGTTATCGTGACACGGATGTCAGGATCAGCAGGCGGGATCTCGAGTTGACAGGCTGGGACCAGGTGATGGGACAGGCAGTCTCGACGGACGTAACTAAGCTGGCATTTGTGCTCTACTCGACAACTTCCTGCCTCAGCCAAAGCAGTGCCAGTTTCTATTCTAACCCATGCATTCACAGTCACACCCACTCACTCACTCACTCACTCACTCACTCACTCACTCACTCACTCACTCACTCACTCAGTCACTCACTCACAACCAATAGGAGATGGAAATGTCCATTGTTGACTTCCTTGCAAGAGAAACTCAACATACCTTTCAATACAAAGTAATAATTCATGGCTTATGCATGCATCAGTAGTTCAGATATGCACTTGACTAGCCAAAGCGATAAGTATACACTATACAGGTAATGCCTTGGAACATTTCGTGACAATGCTGAGGCATAAATGTCGAATGCTGCAACGAATGACATTTCCCACATGGGGCACCACCGGAATTATGCCTCAAAGTGGTAGTAAAAGTGCGACCATTCTTTACTTGAACCAGTTCGCCAATACTTTTGCGACATATTTATGCTCAAACACGAATTTCCACTGATGCTGAGAAATGGAATGCACTCATTGCATTCATGCAATGGACTACACACAATCATCATGACAATCTCAGAATGTGAGGAAATTTGAACTCAACCAGCGATTCAATCGAGTGTGCGCCGCGTTTTTAGCTGATCTCTGATCCCGACAGCCGCGATATGCGAGCGATTCCCGAGCTGCGAGCGAGCCGGGATCGGGTCGAGCCAGGTATACAGGGTGTCCGGAAAGTTCTGGCGCCTTTTTTGGACGTCGTCTAACGCGCGCTGTGATTATTGG